CCCCACTTGTCACAGCATGATGAACCATTGCCACAAGTGCCTCCGTGCAGCATATGAATAAATACGGTGAAAGGGGGTCTCCCTGTCGAAGTCCTCGGGAAGGAGAAACCGACCCGAACTGCGTACCATTAAAAAGGAACGAATAAGAAACAGAAGATACACAAATCATAATCAACTCAATAAAATCTCTCGGAAAACCAAGGCGAGCAAGAATTTTTCGAAGAAAAGACCATTCAATTCGATCATAAGCTTTACTAATGTCTAATTTAGTAGCCATATAGTTTGTTCGCTTCCTAGAATTAGAGTTGATAAAATGATTTATTTCATAGGCCACAAGAACGTTATCAGTTATTAGACGTTTCGGCACAAAAGCGGATTGGGTGGGCGAGATAATATCTTGAAGCAAGGGTTTCATCCGATTAGCTATAGTTTTAGATCCAAATTTATATAAGACATTACATAAGCTAATCGGACGATATTCGGTGATTTTCTCGGGATTTTTCACTTTAGGGATAAGGACAATAAAGGTGTAATTAAGTTTACTCGGAAGTTTATGATTATTCAGAAAATCTAAAACACAATTAATAACCGATCCACCAAGAATATCCCAATATTTGGTATAAAATAAAACCGGAAAACCGTCGGGCCCGGGGGATTTAGATGGGGACATTTGAGATATAGCACGGGTTACCTCATCCGCTGTGAAACGGAGGGAAATAAATTGCCTGGCTGCGTTTGACACCCTCGACCCGACATGCTCCAACACTTTCTCAATCACACTCTCCTCCGGATAATTAGTCTGAAAAATAGAGGCAAAATAACTACTAATCACTTCCATTTTTTGTGTTTCCTAATTTGCCTTTCCCATAGGTTATATTTTCAGGATAATATAGTAATATTTCTCAAAGTAAAAATTAATTAATTATAATGTTGATAATTTTTTTAGGGGAGTAACAGAACGTTTTTCAATTTTTTATGTTTATAACTGATGAATAATTTATTTATTATGCTAATTATTCCATTAAAGAAAGTTGAAACGGTTCAATTGTAACTCTTGGGGTCCATTTGGATGGAGGGATTTGGGGAGGGATTTGATTTGGGGAATGGATTTGAAATGACTCCAATTTTGGAGTCATTTGAAATCCATCATTATTGCTCCAAAATCAACTAAAAAGGAGGGGTGGGGATTTGAAATCCATCTCCAAATCCTTCAATCCAAACAAGTCCGAGGGATTTGTTATTATGGATTTGAAATCCCTCCCCCAAATCCCTCCATCCAAATGCACCCTTAGAGTTTTTTAATCCCTCGTACGTATTGCCCTGGTTAACTGCACGGCTGCACCCATTAGTGACCATATATCCACTCACTTTGCAGCCATCTTAATAAGAAAATAATTGGCCATGAAATTCGTTACATGGACACATAATATGTCATTCTCACCGGATTAGACGTTAAAAGATGATCACAGTTTAGATTCAAGTAGCAACATCATCAGCAACTATTGAAACTCCAATCTGCAGGCCCGTGTATATGACGTTTGTACGTAAGCTCGTGAAACATTAGGCATCTCTTTTGGGTTTTTTGCAAGAACCACCCTTGTGTAATCTCTAATTGCTGAAAAACCCCTCGTGTTAAAAAAATTAGCAAGGACCCCCCTATGAAAGTTAGTCAAAGCCAATAAGGCCCCTAACATCTTATCGTGTTCTGCACGCGCACATTGTGCGGCTGGGCTGCATATTTTGACCTAAAAAGATATAAATACCCTTTAAATAAAAAGTGGAAAATTACATATTGGCCCCAAAATTTTCATAACCCCAAATTGAAACTTTAAGAATTTTCAATTCAGCCCTTGACAATTTCTAAAACGCCCTCTCTCCAAATCATCTCATCCCCAATCAAACTCTCCACAATTTTCACGCAAAACACACACACACAATGCTTCCTGATGGTGCCCCCTTTGCAAATATATTTTTTTTTCCTGCAAAATGTTTGGAAGGTACCTCACCAAAACAACCCACTCCCAAATCTGCCTTTCCTCTGTTCCATCTCTCTCGAGAAACTCCGACCACTTCAACCGGCGACATATTCCACAGTTCCGTCGACGAAGAAGGGGCACGAGCATGTTGAGTATGGGGCGGCGGCGGCGGGTGGGTATGGTGACGGGGGCAGCGTATGGGGGCAGAGTATGGGGCGGGGGCAGCGGCGGATGGAGGTAATGGCGGTTGGGTATGGTGGTGACGGCTAACACCGGCAGAGTATGGGGCGGCGGCGGGTGGAGGTAATGGAGGTTGGGTATGGTGGTGGAAGATTGAAGGAAGAAGGGGAACAACAAAAATGGCTTATCTGCTGATTGTTGAAGAAGAATGATTTTGAATTGTGGAAGATTGTGCGAAGAAGAATTGTTGAAGATTCCAATTATTTCCTGAGCTCTGCTCTGCTCTATATTTCTTTTTTTTTTTTTTCACGAATTTTCAATTGGATTTTCGGTATATTGCAAGGTTAATTTTGTCATTTCATTTAAGTCAACAACTAAATCTGATAAAAAGGGCTGTGTGCTATACAAAACCAAACATAAGGGGGTATTTGCTAATTATTTTATCATGAGGGCTTTTATGCCAATTAGAAATAACACAGGGGGGTCTGTGCTATTAGCTCCATCTCTTTTGTTTATTATATTTATTTGATTTATCCGGGCTTTTTTTCTAATTAATGGAATGCTTACCGAAGGAGGAGGACTTGAGTGAATATGTCAAAGAGGGGTTACTTGATTTCTTGCTAGGCAATTGTTGGGAAGCCACAACCTGTACATTTTATTGTATGTCTATAAGTCGTGTTAGAAAATTTTCAATTAATGATTATAAAATTTAATTTGTAATTAACTTTTGAATTATTGATTGTTCTAATTATATTTTTAAGTTTAATTAAAATGGGTTTAAATGTAATTTTACTTGTAACATAGGGTTCATACTTTTTTTTATAGGGTACGTACTAATCATACGTGGCAATTTTTTATTGACAACCTCATACGTGGCAATTTTTCATTGGTTGGTTACGGTCCGACAAGTACAACCCTCTCGGACCCTAGACAACCCCATTAAAGTATGCTCCAATTTTGAAAAGTCTCCGGCAGCAAAAAAAAAAAAAATTGAAAAAAAAAATCAAAATTGAATTTTTGTGGTCAAAATTGAATTTTTGTGGACAAAATTCATTAAATTGGGGTTATAATTAAAAATTGGGTATAAAAGGTTGAGGGTAATATTGGCATATACATGAATATTTCCTTTATTTATAATAAATATTAAAGGAATGAGCTTATTGGTGAAAGAAAATATAGCCTCTAAACCTAGAATAATAAAGATGGTTGGGGACTTATGCACAAAAACCCCTATAATTATTTTAAAATAAAAAAATGAGCTAATTGCATATAACCCCCTGTGTAATCTGGAATGGCTAAAAAACCCCTCATGTTAAAAATATTAGCATAGACCCCCCTATATTATTTTTGACAAAGCACACGGCCCCTTATTTCGAAATTAGCAGTTGACCTGTAGGTAATGACTAAATTAACCCTCATATTATACTAATTTATGTTTCAATTATAAATAAATAAAAATGCAAAATGAATATAATTAGAAAAAATAAAAAAAAAAAACATAATGAAAAAGAAGAAAACCCACGGCCATCATCTCCTCCCCCAACCCAAAATTCTTCCATCCGCATCACCACCACCTCACCACCATGGCCGCACCACCTGCCTTCCTACCCCAAAAAAAATATTATGCTTTATGTTTGATGGGTTTTTCCAGATTTCTTTTGAATCAAGATTTTTGGTCGCGTCCCTATTCTTCTCATCTCTTCGTCGGCGGTGGGTTTGGAGGCGGCATCATCCCGGTCGGATGAATCATCCATGGCGGATCGGACCCTCTCTCTCTCTCTCTCTCTCTCTCTCTCTCTCTCTCTCTCTCTCTCTCTCTCTCTCTCTCTCTCTCTCATACACACAAGGTTCCATCGTGAAGTGCAACTTTTGTTGGTTTTTCTTCTTTTGCAAACGGGTTGTTTATGAAGATGAATTGCTTGATACTGTTTGCTTCTTTTTATTTTTTCATGGCAAGGAACATATCTGAGAAGAAGGAGACGGAGAAAGAAGATGAGGTTTTGAGAAATTATGAAAATTGCAATTTGGTCCTATGCAATTTGGAGAGAGGGCTTTTCTGAAATTATTAGGGATTGAATTGAAAATTCTGAAAACTTTATTATGAAAAATAGTGGATAAATCTATTAATTTCAAAAAATTGATTTCAAGGGTATTTAGTAGGTCTTTCTAGTTCCAAAATCAGACGGCCAGTCGCACGAGATGCGAGTGTATAACACATCAAGCTCGTAGGGTCTTTTTTGGCTTTGACTATTTTTCACAGGGGATTTTTTGCTAATATTTTTAACACGAGGGGTTTTTCAGCTATTCAAGATTACACAGGGGTGGTTTTTGCAAAAAACTCATAAAAAAATTATCTCGTTTTGGGTTAGAATTTATTTTGAAATAAAAATGATCTAAACAAAGCCTTAGTTTTTAATAACAATTCCTTTTTATTTTCATTTTGCTTGTATTTTTCTCTATTATTTTCCCTTAAGAACCAAACAAAACTAAAGAAAATGATTTTCCACAAAATTATTTTCATCAAAATTATTTTCGTCACTATTTTTCTTAGGAACCAAATACAATTGGGATTTTAAAAGCCTTTGATTTCCTTTTCTTTGCTTTTTCATTTTCCTTATTTCAAAATCCATGAACCAATCATAGCCTAAGAGACGACATAAAATTTTAATGACATAAAATTTTAAGGCACGTTGATTTCGATTCTACAGCATTTCACCTTTAATGTATAGTCTGATAACAGTCATCAAACGACAAGTAAAAAAAAAACATAGGTTTAAAATAATCGAAATTTAACCTACAAAATCTTAAAATTAAAACTAAACAAAAAAAACTAGGATCAAAGACTCACAAAGTTTGTCTCCATTTCAATGCAAAACGAGTACGAACATGTACCCCATGTCGTCGATGATAGCGTCGCCATTGTGACAGAGTTTTCGGACGCCATTCTTTTTTATTCTTGTCATGAATCTCCAATCTCACTTCCTCCAAATCTCGATGCATTAAAATATCCCACAGACACTCGATGTCATCCATCTCCCATCCGTATCCACAAAAGAAAGAGTCATCGATTAATCTCGGACGACAAACACAAAACAAAGCATTCATAAGAGATGAAATCGAAGATAAATCAAAATTCAAACTCAAACTATCCACCAGTACCGGTTTAATATTATTGTCTTGTACCGCAATGTTTTTTCGAATGGGAGAACACTGATCAATGTTGAGAGAAATTTCGGATTGGCTTAACGACTTGAGCAGTTCGTTTAGATTGACGAACCACAAAGAAGAAAAAACATCGGTAGAATGCAGGTGTATATTTGAACGCCACTCACTGGAAGAAGTAGTTGTTGTTGCAAAAGAGATGGACGGGATAAAGTCTCCAAAATAATCAAAATTATTTATCTTCGGGGCGTCAATAAACACCTTGATTTCTTCGAAGCCACAACAATAATAAATATATAAAATCTCGAGGCTTGGGAACTTGCACGTCGACAAGTGGTCCAACGGCGAATCGACATCCGTCAGGGATAAACGGGTGAGATTACGAAAGTCCGCCCCCATGAGGAACGGCATATATCGGCCACGAAAATCAATTACTTCAAGAGAAGGGGTATGGATTTTGATTCTACAATCATCCACAAAGGGGACATTATCATTCACAAAAGTGAACTTCTTTAGGTTTTGTAGACTCGTCGCATCAATTGTTGTTAACGTTCGACAGTTTCTGACATCCAAAGTTTCAATCAAAGGACAAGACAATATTATCTTCTCGAAAATATCATCCTTAATCGAGACTCGTTGAAGATCAAGTGATTTTAGATTCTTCAAGAGTAGTATCCCTCGAATAGTGTTTTGGTCCACTATGAATCGTTCCAAGTACAAATCTTTGAGTGATTCGGCTTCAAAGACTACAGACGGCAGATGATTACTATAACACGGATATTCTTCCATACTAATCCGAAGATGAAGCTCTTTCAAACCCATATTTGTGACTAATCGGATCCATTTCTCAAGAGCCGGCATCGATTCTTCGTCGTCGTCACTGCCTATAGATACACGAAGGCTGAATTCCTCTACGCACAGCCTTTGATCCAAGTATCGCTGTAAAGTGCTGTCCACGGTGGTTATAAAGTCTTGTTTGTTTCCTTTGAAGGCGTGGATCGAAAAATCGAGATTAGGGCGAGTGCACCAAACACTGCGCCATGATTTCGACAGTACGGAGGTTCGAACAACTTCTGTTTGGGAGAGGAAATAAAGTATTCTCTGCAGAATGTGTTCTGGCAATATGGATATCCTGCACGTGGAATTGTAATCGCCTTCTCCTTTTGGCCTTTTCATGTTGTACGCTGCTCCAACTATTTTTTCAGCCTCTGGTTAACGAACCCTAATTAATTTGTCATAGAGAACCCTAGGGTTTACATGAATATAAGACGAAGACCCATATGGCTATATATGAAGTGGAATCTAGGGTTTACAATTTGGGTTCAACTCTAAAATAGATAGAATTACGTACCTATTGGATTCTTTCTTTTCGTGCAGATCTCTCATTGAAATAGAATCGTAATTTATTTGTTTTTCTTTTCTTTTTTGTTTTTTTTCAGAAACCATCATAATATATATACATATATATATATATATATATATATATATTGGTGAGCTGGTAAACAGCTTAGTCAAAGTTGAAGAGGTCCCAGGTTCGATTTCTGCACCTCACAAATAATTATTTTTCTCTCAAAATGGTCCAAACCATTGAAATAGTTAATATTTTTCACCTCTTTTCTCTTTAAATATTTCTAAAATGTTCCTAAAATTTGCAAATCATAAATTTTGGGTCCACTATTTTTTTAAAGTGATTTAAAAATTTTATTTTACGCAATTTCGTACACCTTTGACAAATGGCAAATAAGCCCATGACAAGGGCACTTAATTAAAAGAGAGGCATCCAACTTTTTTATCTTTTAGAATAGCAAAAAGGCCCATCACATAGGACTTAAATACATATTTGTCCACAAAAGAAACAGTCTCTCAATTAAGCTCATCCCCATGTCTTTAGTCTAAAATACCCTCAATAATATAATTCTTACCAATTCCACCCATTATGCTCTAACTTCCTGAATATTACACATTGACCCCGTATTTTAACAAATATATCACATTAACCCCCAAAACTTTTTTTTTCAGAAAATAATTTTTTTTCTGAAATATTTTTTTTCTGGCCAGATTCCGGCGTTGACCGCCGGAGACCGCCGGTCTCGGGCAGTTTCCGGCGTTGACTGTTTTTTTTTTTTTTTTAAACTTCCTGAATTTTTTTCCGGCCGGTCAACCACCGTTGACCGCCGTTCTCCGACGTTGACTTTTTTTTTTTTTTTTTTTTTTTTGAATTTTTTTTTCTTAGAAGGAAAAAATATTTTAATTAATATTATTGTTTTAGCTACTAAATTACTGTCTCAGACAGTAATATTACTGTTTGGGACAGTAATATTATGAATATTATTTTTCCGAACAGTAATATTATGAATATTATTTTTCCGAACAGTAATATTATTAATATTATTGTCTAAGACAGATAAATTACTGTTGAAGACAGTAATTTAGCATCTAAGGCAGTACTATTAATTAAAATATTTTTTTTAAGAAAAAAAATGAAAAAAAAGTCAATTAACAGTTAAATTACTGTCTCTGACAGTTAAATAACTGCTGGAGACAGTAATTTAGCAAACGAATACAATAATATTTTTTAAAGAATAAAATAGTCAATTAACAGTTAAATCACTGTCTCCAACAGTTAAATAACTGCTAGAGACAGTAATTTAGCAAGATACAGTAATATTAATTAAAATATTTTTGAAGAAAAAAAAAAGTCAATTAACAGCTAAATTACTGTCTCCGGCAGTTAAATAACTGCCGGAGACAGTAATTGAACAGCCAAGACAGTAATATTAATTAAAAAAAAATAAGAAAAAACAAAATTATAAAAAAAAAAAAAAAAGTCAACGCCGGAATCTGGCCGGAAAAAAAACATTTCAGAAAAAAAAAATTTTCTGAAAAAGAAAATTTTGGGGGGTTAATGTGATATATTTGTTTAAATCCGGGGTCAATGTGTAATATTAAGGAAGTTAGAGCATAATGGGTGGAATTGATAAGAGTTAGGGTTAAAATTGGGGTCAAAATTGAAATTAGGGTTAAAATTGGTTAATTGATGAAATTGGGCGAAATTGGGGTGTAAATCATGAAATTGGTGTTGAATTGGGTTTCAATGAATTGGGGGTAATTTTGGTATATATAAAAGGATTTTCCTTATTTGCAAATAAGTTTGAATGGGTTGGATTTATTTGAAAGACAAAAAAATTGGATGTCCCTCTTTTAATTAAGTGCCCTTGTCATGGGCCTATTTGCCATTACCCCTAATTTAAAATTTAAAATTACTTGACGTATTATAAAGGGGTCTTTACAAATAAGCCCATGAATGGGTACTTATTCATAAAGACTTCTTTACCAATAATTCTACACATAGTCCAGATTTTTGTAAAGGACTAAAATAACACCTCATACTTTAATATGCTCCAATTTCATCCTTAACTTTATTTAACCTCAATTTGACCCCAAATTTCACAAATTATTCAATTTTGAC